CATTCCAAGAGAGAAAGCAAGGAGGACATCTTGGTGACAGTCTTGGGAATTGGACACCGTCACTTCCTCCATGTGCTGTTTGCTAGGAGTGGGTCATTAAGTCCAGCCCCTACTTGAGGGGCAGGAATTGCAGCAAAATGGGGTATCAGCTGATAGGGTGACTGTGAGATGTTGGGGTTCCTGGTGCTGAGAGGAGGGATGGATTTTCTGCCCAAGGCAGACATCAGACATCAGTGTTTTGGCAGAGTCCTAGCAAGCTAGAGCTCTATTGTCTGCCTCAGGCTGGGGTGGGTATGGTTCACTCCAGCCACTTCATTAGCACGGGGACTTGTCCTTCCCCCCATCAGGCAGCAGTGGATGGCTGCTGGCACCCAGCCAGGTGTGGGCTGGGCCATCTCAAGACCTTGAGAGCCAGATGTTGTTTGCTGCTGATGCCATGGTAACCTGCTTAGGTGCCCTGGGCAGTCTTCCTGGCTCCTAAGTGAGAACTGCCTGGCCTTGGCATCAAGGCCTGGATTTGCTTCTGTCTACATCTGGAGCTGGCCAGTTCAGGGTGTGCTGGATTTCTTAGCATTATCTTTTGGTGATGTCGTTTCTGAATCCAGAATATGTCTGATGTGAATGAGTATGGGGACAACAGGATAGAGTATTTGAAATTGGACCATCTTGGAAAATCTGGGACATCCCCCATCTTGTGACTGATGGGCCAGTCCCCATGAGGCTGGGGCTGCCTGGGCTGCAGGCTCTGGTGGGGCTGGCTAAGAGACCCAAGTGAAACTCCCCCCAGGGGTCATGTTGAGGCTTCTCTAGAAGGTCCTGACTTCCGGCCTCCTTATTTTGGGCTGAATGAGGACCTGGCCAGTGCCTGGCGGCTTAACGTGGCATTTTGGAAACATTGCCCGGTAACCTGGCTTTATGGGAATCCTCCTGGTTGATTTTCTGGAGGGTCTCTCACTTTGCCCAGTACTAGGGCATCAGGTCACGTGGTCTCTTGATTCTTGGACCCCAGCTGAAGGCAGTCTGCTGACATTTCTTTTTCTTCCTGTTTTATTGAGATATAATTGACATCCATCACTGTATTAGTTTAAGCTGTACAGCGTGATGGTTTGACTTACATATATTGTGAAATGATTACTGCAATAAATTTAGTTAACATCCATCATGTCATATAGACGTGCTGAAGTCTTAACCTGAGCCCCTGGTGAGCTAAGCCCCTAGGAGGTGACAAATTTCTTCTTGCCCTTCTCCCCACCCCTTACACACACACACACACACACACACACGCGCGCGCGCGCGCACACACACACCCCCCAGACCATACAAAGCTAGAGAAACTTTTTCCCTGATTATTTTTCCTTTTCCAGGCAGGGACATTGATATATTTGAATCATGGGCTGACAGTAATTAAAAAGCACATAACGTCATTTTAAAATGTAGTTGTTTTAGTTAATTGATATTGCCGCCAGACCCAGAGGGAGAAAAAAAAGAACAGGGGAAAGAAAGCCTTAGAAGGGGAGAGAGGTTTCTGCGGGTGACTGGAGGCAGCTGAGGGCCCTGCTTGAATCTAATTGCTGCAAATGCTGCAGGTTGTTTCTGCTAATGGTTTTCTGCTAAAGGTCTGGGGGATGAGGCCTGATTGGAGGGGGGTGACGTTTGTTTCAGCTGCACGAGGGGTAAAATTCTGCTTTCGGGACAGGGTCTATTTTTCCTTACTCTCTATCAGCATAAAGTACTTCCAGCGAACACTTTGAATCAAGGTTCCATTTAGAGATACTTTATTCATATTTAATTACAGCCTGTAGCCCCAATCTTTAATTACGGTTTTTTATAAGCCGGCTAGGAACATTCACTAGCAATCAATAATTGTGTGTGTGTGTTGTGTGTGAGTGTGTGTGAGCACAGGAGGGTGTGGGTGTCTGACGTGCTTACTGATAAAGGGGAAGAGGGTGGCTGCAGGGGCACCCCGGAGGTGGTGGGAGTGCATGGATGGGGTGGGGTGGGCGGGGTATCTGCCCAGCAGGTTCCCTGCGCCGAGCGGGTAGTGCATCCTCACTTGCCATGCCTCTGCTTCCACTGGTCAAATTGAGGATTTGGGCAAGTCCTCACAGCTGGGCCTCGTTCGGGGTGCTGAATGGGCACCTGGGCTTTGGTGGTATCTTGGGACCCCCCCCGACCCCTGGTGGGAGCAGGGAACTGTGGGAGGCCCCCCTCCCCATTCCCTGGGGATATGGGGGACCAGTCTTCCTCTTACCCTGAAGATTGGGACATGCTTGCCTTGACGCGTTCCTCCCCCCGCCTCCCCGCCCCCTGCAGCGCTCCTGGCAGCTGTTCCTGCCACACAGCCCTAGTGATGCCACGTCACTCTTCAGTTGCAGTGACTCTGCAGCGTCCCTGCAATGACTCTGATTTGAAGACTGGTTGTCCTTCTCAGAGAACGAGCAAGTGTTCCCAGGGAGCCAGGCGGAGACTTGGGGTGGGAGTGGGGTCAGATGACCCTCAGGTCCCCTTGCCCATCCTAGCTGCCGGAGGTGAGGGTCTGAGTTCACAGCTTTTCTCTAGAAAACATTCTCCTTGGTGCTCCTTCAGGAATTACCAGAGGCTTTCCAAGGAAGTGGTGTTGATCTCATTATGTTACGGACAGGAATGTTGCTGAAGTTCCACCTCCCTTCGGTTCCTGGATCCCAGTCCCAGCAAGAGGGTGGGGAGGAAATGGAACTCTCATGTACTGGCCTCTTGGGGGTACCGGGCACCATGCCCAGGTTTCTTTCATCTATCCCTGCTGGGGCCTGAGAACACACTGTGTCAGTCAGAGCCCCTTCAGTTGTGTGTGACAGAAAACAACTCAAACTACCTTCAGCAAAAAAAAGATATTCTAGGGTGGGCATCCAGGCATGGCTAGACCAGGGGCTCAGCCATTGTGACCAGGATTCACTCGCTCTCTTGACTCTGCTTTCCTCTTTGTTGCTACTGTGTGACCCCTGGTAGCTCCAGGCTTCAAGTTCAATTTTCAGCTTCAAGTTGAGCAGAAAGAAGGAGAAGCACTTCTACAGTTTAAGCAAAAGTAAAACAATTGAGTCTGATTGGACCACTTGGGTCAATCTCTGATGTAATCAGTGTGGCCTGAGGTACCTGGGGTTCTGAATGATCAGGCCAGGGTCTCACCCCACTCTGGAGTAACAGGTGGAGTCCACCTAGGTAAATCCCACTCGTGACATGTGCTTTTATGTGTGAGGCCTTTGGAATAGTAGCAGTGTGGGAGTAGGATGGTCCAGCCATTTCAGAAGGAGGAAAGAGTTGATACAATCCCTCTCCGATAGAAAGAATAGTGGGTTCAGTCCTTCAACAATATTTGTTTAGCACTGACTAGTTCCAGTCCTGTTCTAACTGTAGGGAAGTCAGCAGCAAACAAAACAGAAAAAAATTGCTGCCTATTTGGAGCTGATGTTCTAACGCGCTATAGGGCTGACGGCCCTTTCGTTCTTAGTCTAAGCCCAGGTCCAGGATAAAGCGTTCTTGTGTGGAGAGACCCAGGGTGATTCAGGCGGATGATGTGGGAAGAATCTGGCCCTTAGGGAGCCCAGAACTCACGAGGGAGGGAAAAAGGCAAGTTGGGGAAGGGGGCAATAGGAGGGGTACAAATAAATACCCAATAAGGAAGAAGGGGGACGGGAGGCCAATCTGTACCCATATCCCGTGACGGAAAAGGGTAGGCCCCTCCCGTGTTGCCTGGACCTTTGGCCCCCGCAGGATGTTGATAAATGGCATGGAGTTAGTGAAAGCTTCCAAAATGATGACAGGACTGGAGGGAGTGATTTATGAGATGAGATTAGCAAAGTGACGGTGCAGCCTAGCAAACAAAGGGATGGGGTGGTGGCCGTGGGTCGTGTGACCTCTGAAGTCCAAGGAGAGGAGAGGGGCTGAGGGGTAGGATGGAGTGGCTGCTGCCGAAGGGGGACGAAGAGAGGCAGCAGGGGCACGGACTGAGTGGACCTCAGCATGAGAGCCTGGGTGGTGTGAGAAGGAGCAGAGGCATGTGGCATACATATGCACATTTGCGTGCGTGCGTGTGTGTGTGTGTGTGTGTGTGTGTGAGTGTGAGTGAATGTCTGGCCTTTCCAGAATTGTGAGGCTATACAGGGAATTCAAGAAATGGAGGGGATGAGAATTTCAGACCTGGACAATTTTGCAAAAGGCTTTTGGGGCCCTTCTTCCCATCTGGTAGAATATTCATATCTGGACCATCTATCTGACCACTCAAGTCAGACAGACCTTTCCTTCAGGAGAAATGGCATTTCTAAGAGGGAAGGAGGGGAGGAAGAAGGGAAGAGAAGATGGAAGAGTAAGGGGTATATGTTCCATTTCATAGAGAAAGTGAGGCAGAAGGGGCAGGGATCTGCCCAAGGTACTTGGGGTGGCATCACACCTGAAGACCGAAAGCAGGGCTCTGGTGTGCAGAGATCTCTGCCCGGTGGCTGGGTCAGGAGTGGACTTGGGGACCCATGTTGAGGCTCAGGCAGCGACAAGTGGTAGCTGTTGGGTTTGGAGCCTCTAGCCTGGGCTTCCTTAAGCTTTCCGGATTGGCGGGGTTGGAACATCTTCCATCTGATCCCCGGGCTTGGGCTGCCCTGGGCCCAGGTTCTGTTAACTTTTGATCATATCCATATGTGAGAGCCTCGGAGACACAATGGTGAGTAATTAAATAGGTGGATGACGCACGGTTCTGAACACTCGAGATGGCACTCTTTTGGCTTTAAATGGAGGTGCTCAGGGTACCCCTGCACAGGTATGAGACCCACCCTCCACGTGTGTTTTCTGTCTCACTCCCTGCACTGGTGGCTGGTGTGAATTTCCATGGCACTAAAGGGCCCAGGCAAAGCAACTGATAGAGGAGAAAGTCTGTCTTGGGGGCACTGGGCAGTGCTGGCCCTGGCCCATCCTCCTGGCCCCTCTCACTGAATTGCGTCATCTTAATTGCTCTGTTCTCTCTCCACTCTTGACAGATTCATGATTTGTTCATGAGCTTTGATGACACCCCTCTGGGAGCTGCCTCCCTGGCCCAGGTCCACAAGGCGGTGCTGCATGATGGGCGGACGGTGGCCGTGAAGGTCCAGCACCCAAAGGTGCAGGCTCAGAGCTCAAAGGACATTCTTCTGATGGAGGTGAGAGCCTCCCACCTTCCCCTTCCTTCATACTCGTTCTACATTTCCCTGGGATCCAGGCAGTCCCAGTGAAACCGGTTCAAGGCCTATAGTTTGGAGTGTGGCCCTTTGAGCAGCAGAGTGAAAGAGGAGAGCTTGAGACCACAAAGGAGGTGTCATGACAGCGCTGTGACCAGGGGACCCATGGCAGGGTTGCTTGATTTTTGATTCATTCCTGGGAACTGTCTGTGGGTGGTCTCAGAACACGGTGGGCAGCTGCTGGGGCCAAGGAGACCTCAGGGGGATATTGTAGAAATGAGACGACCCACAGGTGACTTCCTTGGGGGTAGAAAAAGTTACTTCCTAATTTGTTAAATTATAACAAAAGGGAGCATGTGGTCAGTCAAGGGATGTGGAAATGACAGGCAGATCACATAGAAATATTTATGCAGATTGCACATTTGCTCCCCTGATACTTTGCTTTGAATGAACAAAACGTGTCTGCCCTAAAATGGCCCTGGGACAGCTGTAGTGGGGACTGTGCCTCTGGACTTTTCTAGCTCCATGCCTGGAGCAAGGAAGAAGGGTGAGCGACCAGGGTTGGGGCGGTAGCCAGCACCCCCAGTGGAGGTCAGCAGTCTGCCTACCCTGCCAGCTTGTCCCTCTCCTTCCTTTTCTCTTTCCCTTTTCTTGGCTCCCTTTCCTCACTTTGGACACTCAGTTTATTCTTCCAGCTCACTTTGACTAAACTTAACACCTACATAGGACACAAGAGTGAGTGACCTGCATCTTCATCTTCAGGGGAGCTCCCCATTTAGTGGGGCAGACAGGCTTGTACACAAAACAGCCCTTGACTATGAGCTCCGTCAAAGGGGTGTTTGCAGAGTGCTGTGGAGCCCTGTGCCTGGAATGTTGGGGGCATCAGGGGGGCTTCACCAAGGCACCCGCGAGACAGCCGGGCAGGGGAAGGATGACCCAGCCTGTGTGAAGGCCCTGAGTCTTAGGGGAGCAGGGTGTGCTTGGAGAGCTTCAGCTGGTTCAGATGGAACGAGCTGGGCGTGGGTGCAAATGAGGCTGGGAAGGTAGGCAGGACAGAACATGAAGGGCCTCGTATTCCAGGCTCAGGCGCAGAATGGTATACATAGTAAGTACGTATTTACTGTGGAACCGAGCAGATCTGATTTTCTTCTGTAGTCAGTGGGGAACCATTTAAGAATTTTAATCAGGGGAATGTCGTGATCAGATGTGCCTTAGAAATAAAAGTCTGTTGACAGTCTGGAGGATGTATTGGAAGGCAGAAAGACTGTAGCCAGGGAGACTAATTGAGGGGCTGCAGCCTTGGTCTGAGAGAGAAAAGATGATGCGAACCCAGGCAGTGTAATGGGGGTGGAGGAGAGGCATGGATTCACAGGGTGGAATCATCAGGACTTTGTGACCAGCTTTACGTGGGATGGGGGGAAATACTGGTATGAATGAAAATGAAAACAAATTGTAAGTTTCTGGCTTAAATGATTAAATTTAGGTGCCTTTAACGATGTGTATCAGTCGGGATTCAGTTGGGGGAAAAAAGAACTTGCTCTAGGTATTTCAGAGGGAATTTAAAACAGAACATGGGGTTCACAGGGCATGGAATTGCTGAGAAGCCAAGTGGAATGGTGAGATAGTCACCAATAGCGGGAAGCCACTGCCACCCTCCAGGTGGAGGGACAAGGAGGAGAGGTGGTTCCCCGGAGCCCAGGTGCTGGGGCCACCTGAGGGGAGTGGATCACAGACCTCGGGCCTGTCACCTGGGGTTGGAGCCACAGATGCTGTTTGAGGCAGTGGGTGTTTCACCTCCTCCTGTTCCCCCCGCCCACTCGCCTGTATTCCACCAAACCTAGCTGGAAGCCGGTTGGCAAGGGAGCCTGGGGTATGTAGTTTCTTATGAGATTAAGGGGGTGGGATGGATGTCAGAGCAAGTGGAGTGGGTGACGGAGCAACTATGTTCTGTAAGACATTGCCGTCAGCAGTTTTAGATCAGGATCTCTGTCGGTCTGCACTTCAGGCTGGAAATACAGATTCTGGATTTATCAGCAAGGAGACTCATGGGAGCTGAATCTGGGGCAGTAGCTGAGATGGCTTAGAAAAGCTATATAGAGTAAAAATAAAAGGAGGGGGCAAAGAAAGAGCTGTGAGGAGCATCATGCCCAGGAGGATGAGTTCCGGAGGGAACTAAGAAGGCATGGTCAGAGGGATTAGAGGAGAGCCAGGACTGAGCAGCTACGTCCAATGAGAACAATGTAGAGAAGAGAGCACTGTCAGTTATCTAGCATCCCGACTGATACAACCACTAGTCTGCGTGATGAACCACCTGAAAACGCAGTGGCTTAAAACACCAGTCGTGTATTTTGCTCATGACTCTGCAACCTGGGCAGGGTGTGGCAGGGAGACTCATCTCTGTTTTATTTGGCGCCAGCTGGGGTGGCTTAACTGCAACAGGAGGACCCGCTCACACGACTGGCAAGTTGGTTCTGGCTGTTGGCTGGGAGCTCAGCCGGGGCTGTGGGTCAGGGCCTTAGACCCGCACCAAGGCCTCTCCAAGGCTGGTTGGGCTTCCTCACAGCATGGTGGCTGGGTTCTAAGAGGGAGTGTCCCAAGAGAATAAGGCTGAAAGCACATCATAGTTTTATGACCTAGCCGTGGCAGTCACGCAGGTTACTTCTTCCTTACTTTATTGGTAAGAGCAAGAGTCACAAAGTCCCCCTTGGTTTAAGAGGCAGGGAAATAGACTCTGCCTCCTGATGGGGGAGTGGCACGGTTCCAGAAGAGCATTAGAGGGGGAGGTATTGTTGCAGCCATTTTGGAAAATATAATCTGTCAGAATTACGGCATGTTGTCAAATGCAATATAAATTTGTGAAGCTCTGGAAAGAGTATTTTGGATTTGGCGACTTAGAGTTCTTGGGAAGAGCAGGGAGAGTGGGGTGAGTGGGGTGGAAGAGAATCGAGGCCTCAGGGAGCAGAGACGGTTAATGTAGGCTACTCTTTTCATGTTTAGCCATGGATGGTGGGGGAGGGTGGCATAGTGGTTAGAGCAGAGCACAGGATTAGCGGCGGGGACCTGGGGCAGGCTGTAGCTGATGGGGAAGGGGCAGCGGAGCCGGAGGCTTGGAGATTGAGGAGAGAGAAGTAACTGATAGATCTGGTTCAGGAGGGGCCTGGAGGGATTGGGCTCCAAGGACACAGGTGGAAACGTTAGGCTTTGGCAGCCTTTGCTTGAGGCTAGAGGAAGGTAGTAAGGCTGGGTACAGATGAGTGAGTGGGGCAGAGGGGGAAGGTGGGGAAAGTGGACAGCTGAGTTGTACCAGCCTGATAGCCTCTATTTTTTCTCTGAAGTAGGAGGTAAGACCATCTGCTGAGAAAGAGGGGGTAGGAGGTGGCATGGAGGCTTGAGCGGGGAAATGAAGGTTTGGAATATTGCTGGGTGCAGTGGAAAAGGGAGCTGACCGGGACTCGGGAGCGGGGTTGCCGAGTGGCATTGGGCAGCCACCTGGAAACCTTAGTTTTCTGAAGCATCAGTCAGTAGCTATGGAACAGCCATAGATGCAAGTGCACTGTGAGTCTTGGAGGATCCCTGGGTGTCCTGGGACCCAGCAGCCATGCCTGCATTAGCTGGGAACCTGTCTCTGCCCGGTTGTGCCAGCAGACCCACTGGGGCTGGGAGGACAGCTGACATCTTTTCTTTGCTCAGAGCCTCACTGCTCCCTAAGTAATGGTGGCCGTAAGGTCGATATCAATAATAGTAGTAATAAAAATTTGGCATCTTCCGGCCTAAGATAAGCATCAGATGCTTTTCTTGGAAATTACCAGCCCTGTGACTATGTGCAGAGCACAGAGTGGCTCCTTCGCAGTGGCTGGGGCTGGGATCGCGAGGCAGATCAGAGACCCGCACTCACAGCCTTCAGGAGAGAAGCTGGAAATGAGGCCTGAGGTCACCACCTTCATGGACCGTCAGCATTAGCAGCAGCAGAGTGATACTGCCTTGTCGCTGGGCTTGGCCTCTGGTGGAAAAAAGTCCTATCTGGTCACCCTTTCTGCTTCACAACTAAGAGGCGCCAACTGGAAAGCTCATTTGGTTTTATATTTGGAACGAGTATTACTATTTTCTTCTAAGTCCAGACCTAAATGGTGCCTTGATTTTAGGAATGACACATACTCTAGCGTGCTTGGTAGGAAAAAAATGATTTCTAGGAGGCATTAGGGCTATCGTACCCACCAGAAACTTAGAGACAGAGGGGAGGCAGAGCCCATGAAGAGCCTTCTGGTGTTTCTTTTCATGCCAATTCCAGGTATTGTGTGTCCTCATGCTTCTCTCCCACTGCCCACTGTTGTCTCTCTCTCATCTCCAACCCTGTGATTGATCACAGCCTGGTCCTGAGAGGAAGAAAACCTGATTAAAGTAGTTCATACTAAGGAGAGAGTGGCTAATAGGCTTAACCTCTGGATATTTGCAGTTTAAGAAGTGGGCTTGTCAATCCAAACACATATCTGCTGTAAGGATAGAGGTTTGCAGAAATGAGACTTTTGAGAATAAGGAGGTGGGGGCTACTAGCCGTATCAGTTAGTATGGTTTCAACTGCATGTATCAGGACATCCAACTAAAAGTGGTATAAATAATAGTAACCTATATATATATATATATATATATATATGTTTTTTTTTTTTTTTTTTCCCTGCGGTACGCGGATCTCTCACCGCTGTGGCCTCTCCCACCGCGGAGCACGGGCCCCGGACACGCAGGCCCAGCGGCCACGGCCCTCGGGCCCAGCCCCTCCGTGGCACGCGGGATCCTCCCGGACCGGGGCACGAACCTGCGTCCCCCGCATCGGCAGGCGGACCCTCAACCACTGCGCCACCAGGGAAGCCCCAATAGTAACCTATATTATCTTATATTACAAGACATCTGGAAGTAGGGTCAGTTGTTTCAAGGTTGACTAATCCATCACTTCTTTGTGGTTTTTAAGGACCCAGGTTCTTTATGTC